AATAATGAGTTGTGATTGGTGGCAACATGTCACCACGGTTGAGATAGACAGGCTGATTATTGATCTCTGTGTTACTGAATAAAGATGACAGTGATTTGATCAGAATATTTTTTAATAAATATTTTAGGTTATAAGTAAAATACAGATATGCTGCAGAACTACAAAACTGTATCTAACAAGTTAACCAAATCATCTGAATAAGTTGAATTTTTCAGATCATTGCATGATTATGTCAGAACAAAACCAACACTATCAGATCACAGTTGCCTTTGTACATATGACTGTTATAAATCAATATCGACAGGCAAACAAAACTTAAAGTGAAAATATAAGTGTCAAGAGCCCAACTAAAGCAGACACTGATCTCCATTACGGTGGCTTACAATTTGTGATTTTCTCCTTCAGCGATTCTGCTTGTGATCATCAGGTCTCTTCAATAATGCTCAATCATCACTAAATTAATCACTTAATTATCTAAATAACAGTTTAATTTAACACTCATATCGTCAATTTGAAAGCATGTGAAGGTGATTTACTACTAATCAAGGAACCGGCTTTACTGATTAGATGCGCATAACAATATCGTGCGATATATCGCCCAGCCCTAGTGAAGAGTTTTAAACTATGGTGCCTCCCAGAATGCATTGCGGCATAAAGCATTTCACCATTGATGAGATTCATATGTGGATTATTGATGTCTGTGTGTTTGTCCAAAGATTATTTTTCCATTAAAAAATAAAATAAAAATCAGCTTGATGTCTAATATGTACAAAAATAAATGTTGTAAAGAATTAGAACTATTTATAACATTTTGCAGCTTTTTTGTCCTTTATTATGTTGTAAATTATTACATTATGTCTAGGCCATCTTTGATTTTGGCTTTCTTTGCAACAAATTATGTGTTTTGTTTAACACTGTTACAGAGACCATAAAATCACTAGTGATGGCCGGTTCGTGAACGAATCGTTCTTTTGAACCGGTTCTTTTTAGTGAACCGGTCGAACCAGTACACTAAATCGGACTGAATCGTTCGAAACAGTTCGCGTCTTGCGTCAGCGCTAAACCACAAGTTACTAAAGTTACTCACTTTCAGACATGCCTGACAGTCCCTCCGAATCGAAATAAACCAATATCCAGAAGTACATTTTATTCCAGTAACTCAAAAAGTTCACTGAACGGAGACATATGTTGGTGCTGAGAGAAGTGATGAGCACGAGCAGCTGATACTGCGCATGCGTGTACTACCGAACGTACAGATACAGCGGTCGGATAACCAGTACAGAACCGAGAAGAACTGTTTCTTTCGGACACGTTCGACATATTGAGAACTGATGAGTTGATGAGCTGAGCATGCGTGCATTTTTTTTCTGAGGGACGAAATGTACGTTTCCACGTCTTTAGTTGAACATCAGTAAGTGTAACAAAATAAAACATTTTGGAAACATGTTTATCCCATAACTGTATCACTGTATTATTTTAACGATTGGAAATAATGATTGGATTCTAAAACTGTCAAACTACTAAACATTTATTATTATACTAAAATAATATTTTCAGGAACAGCTCATTTAATTTCTAAGTAACAATATTATAAATCTTTGATGTAAACTCTTGCCAAGGTTTGGTGCACTGCTTAGTAAATGTTTATGTGTTAACATAACGAATTAAACATATATGTTTAACGAATTAAACATATATGTTTAATTCGTTATGTTAACACATTATAAACATGATGTATACTGTTACGTATATAGGCTACAGGCTATATTGGAGACAGACATGCATCGATTTTTTAGTTTTGTCGACTGTATATTCAGGTTTCAGCTCAGCACAGGCCTATGCTATGGTTCTCGAGTCGAGAACTGGTTGTTGCAGTTCTTGAATCACTAGTGCAGAACTGAGAACTGTTTCTTTCGGACACGTTCGATACGGAGAACCGATGAGCTGGAGATACTGCGCATGCGTGATAGCACCGTCTCTGAACAGAACTTTCTTTCGGCCGGCTGATCCTGTGCTGATACGAGCACGCAGTAGTACGGGTGAACCCAGGACTTAAATGAGAGGGCGAATCGGCGAAATGTAAGTTTATTTAATAACAAATAAAATGATGAAGACCATTTATGCATTTTATATATTTAAAACATGTAAAACATCCGCGTTAGCACATCGACTAGGCTGCAGCAGGGTTCGTTTTCAAAATGTAAATGTAAGAAACTTATCCAAGATGATTATGACAATGCATACTATTATTTAACTGAAGTTGTGATTACAAATGCCTTTAATTTGAAGTATTTTTATCCGCCGGGATGATAGAATTGACGCCATTACGTGATGACGTAAAAGAACTGGTGAACCGGTTTTTTGAACCGGTTCATTAAAACGAACTGTCCGAAAGAACCGGTTCGCGAAAAAGAACCGGACTTCCCATCACTAAAAATCACATGAGAAGGCAAGAGTCAAATTGCCCAAATAAAGGAAACACTGTTCACCATAATGGTGATTTTTTTAAATGGTGACTAAACCATCAACATCTAAACCTCTGTTAATTCTCAATAAAATCTTCTGTATAAGTCTGACAGAAATAAAGTCATTCTGGTTAGTAATAAGTGAAACTGGTAATGCTGTTTGTGGAGTCGTTTAATCCTCCTCTGCTGAGAACTTCACAGATTTAATGTCTTCTTTGTATCTTCAATTGATTTAACCTAAGGCTGTGACTGAAGGTCAGTTGTAGTTTTTGTGTTTCTCTTACCTTCAGTGATTCTGCTCGTTAACAGCAGGGCAGGTGTTTATCACTAATACTCAATCATCACCCAATTAGTCACTTAATTATCTCATTAACTTTAACACTGCTTCAGTGTTACTTTAACACTCTGTAGAGTGGGACCAAATACACTCTGAGCAGTGTTGAATTAACACTGGGGATTTTGCTGTGTATATTTTAATTAATTGCTTTTGTCTTGAACTTTCAACGAATCCTGAAAAATTAATCACGGTTCAAAGGGATAGTTCACTTTGAAATTAATTTTTGATATGTTTTATCTTACTTCAAGGGCATCCAAGATGGTGTCTTTGTTTCCAGAGTATTTTCAATTTTGACATTTTTAGGTCAAACCGTTCTTGTCTGTCAGTCGTGTAATGGAGATTTATGGTCACCACCTCAAAGAGCATGCACAGAGAAGTCCAAATTAAACATGATTTAATGACTCGTAAATGTAAGTACACATTGATGGCCTAAGACACGAAACGAGCGGTTTGTGTGAGAAAACGAACTGTATTTATTTCGTTTTTACCTCTTGTAACCACAGCCACGTCCAACTGATCTGAAGGCACGGGCGCTTCGGTCTGCGCATGCGCCGGGAGTGATCTCTTGCGCGTCTACGACACTCATTGTTTACACAGAGATTCGGAAGTTTTATTGCGTTTTCCTATATATCTAAATATGTTTAGATCCCAGTGACAGTTAAAACTTCCGAAATCTCTGTGTAAACAATGAATCACTTCCGGCGCTTGCGCAGACCGATTATGCCTTCAGATCACTTGGACTTGGCTGTGGTTACAAGAGGTAAAAACGATATAGGCCTAAATACTGTTGGTTTCTCACACAAACCGCTCGTTTCGTGTGTACTTACATTTACGAGTCATTAAATCATGTTTAATCTGGACTTCTCTGTGCTGCTCTTTGAGGTGGTGACCATAGACCTCCATTATATGACTGACAGACAAGAACGGTTTGACCTAAAAATGTCAAAATTGAAAATACTGTGGAAACAAAGACACCTACATCTTGGATGCCCTTGAGGTAAGATAAAACATATCAAAATTAATTTCAAAGTGACCTTTAATATTAAGCAATTCCACCTTGGGGCTCTGAAGAACTGCTTGTTAATTATGGTTGATATTGTACATTTATATCTGAATACATAACATGCCTTGGATAGTGTTGTATACTTTTTCAACTCGACTGTTATTGAAGAGTGTAAGTGAAAATCTTGTAAATTATTTTGTATTCAGTTTTAACTGTTTTTGCTTTTATTTATGAGCTACAGGATCGTACAGAGAGCAGACAAGAAGTGAAGAGGGAGCAAGAGGAAGCGATGGCATCGGAGCGGACCTCGAGCTGGGACTCTACTAGAGCAATGCAAAAAGACTGTCGCATTTTATTGAGATGCTAAGTTTTTCTACTGTTACTGTACACTTAAAATATTAAATCTATTTCATCTAAGTTTTACAAATGTATTTCATCTAAGTTTTACTGTAATTGAACAAAAACTCTTTTAAGTATTCCATTGAGATTTGTACTTTACTTTAACATTACTTTGAAAACACTGCAAGTTAAAGTTTTCAGATATAGAAAGTATTTTTAGACTTTTTTGTTTTGTTTTCCAAAATAAAACTTGTTTTACAATCTTGAGCATGTGCTAACTCTTTATTAAATGTGTTTGTAATTAAGCCATTGCTGTCAGTCATTTGACATTAAACAATGTTTTAGTGTAGACTACAGTATGTACAGTTAATCACTAAATCAGTTAGCATTGTTATGATCGTGTATTCAAACTACGTTGTAATTTAATGTATAATTGTATTCTCCCATGTTGAAAGGTAAGACTGAAACAATATCACGATAGCAACGTTGATTCAATTTGCAAAACCGAAGCATAATTAAATGTTGGTTTAACTTCGACATACAACCTGTAAGTTACTCACCCATATTGAAAGGAGAGACCATGAAACAACGTCGCGAGTCGCGACATCAACAGTGAAACAACATTCATGATGTCAACGGTGAAACTACCAGTAAAGCCTAGTTCACACTACGTGATTTTAAGCCCGATTTAAGCCCGATTTGCAAATCGTTGAGTCGCCGACAAGTCAGGGTGTTATCGCGTGCAAATCGCGGGCGATTAGCGGACGATTAACGCTCGCCAATCTGTTAGTGTGAAAGAGCCAACAACGCATCAAAGACAGCTCGCAGACAGGTCACCGAGCTCAGAAAAATATCTAGCCTGCTAGATATCTCGAGCAGTCGCGCGACTCAATCTCAGTGATGTCATGAGCTAGAGCCAATCAGAGCAAGGTATGGATCGAGATAACCGGGTAAATACGCGAAATGCGCGATTTTCAAACAAACACGTCCAATACGAGTTTGCAGAAAGATCAGCAACATGTCAAGAAAGCAATGGACTCAAGATTTAGACCAAATTTTAATCGAACTGTGGCAGGAGCATGAATGCCTTTATGATGTTGGACATGACATGTACCACAACCGCATTGAGAAAGAGAAAAGGTGGACAGAAATCACAAACGCCCTCAAACACCCAGGTGAGCAAAATGTTATTGGTTGAAATGTACATTAAATCTTACTGTAATTCTGTTTGTTGTGATATATTATATTGTGCAGTAAGAGGATATTTAGTTCAATGATTTAATTGTCATATTTAGTTTGAAACAGAGAATTAAAAAAAGAATTAGTGGGGGTACATAACTGAGAATAATTAATGAATAATGAATTTTCTTTATTAATTCTAGACTTTACTGTTGAGGACATTAAGATCAGGGCAGTATCCCTGCGAACGCAGTACTGCCGTTTGCAGAAACCCAAACCAAGTGGAAGTGGCAGTAAACCCTTGACCCCAAGGCAAAGGTGGCTTCTCAGAGCGATGGATTTCATCAAAACATTTATTGTTCACCGGCCATGTGAAACAACAGTAAGTTAAACAGTCAACAGAAGCAATAAATGTGTTTGTAATAGCATGCATTGTAACTCTCATACAACAACACACACACAACCTGCTGAGCTGCAAGCCAACTTTTGAAAAATCCAAAGAAAGGGCAAACCTAAAACTGAAACAGATACAGTTCATTGTACTAAAAGCACAAGTATGATCTCATTTGAAAGCTGACACCTGGCAGTTTATTGTAAATGCAGAATTAATTAGTCATAATGAAAAAAACTGAATTATAAATAGCTTCAAAGTGTTGTAAAGTTGTTAGAAATTTATTTTTATGTAACAACTTCATGAAAATAAGATTGAAGTTGGCATTGTATCAATCTAGAAATGCACTGCAGCTAAATTAGCATGTCTGAACATGTTATATTTAAAATTTGAAGATTACAAGTCTAAAACTTTGCATTTAATTAAATGTTTCTTTCAAGATCATGTCATGTGACTTGATTTTGCTTTACACTCTAAAATGCAAACTGGTGTTTATTGTCAATGTCTAGCATCTATTCAGTCTATTGACTCTTTTGTTTTGTGTTGCAAACGAGCCTCATTCAGTGGTCAGTCTCCCCTGCATACTGCACATTCGCACTTCTCCGGCATGGTTATTGCTCAAAATATTTTATTTTGTCTGCATTATAATCACTAACGACTGGCTATTCACACTGTTTTAATCCCTCGTTTCTTTTTTAAAAAGTTCTCACTTTACACACGCTGTGTTACACATGCTACAGTAATAATTTATTCTGCTCACTTGACTCAAATCTTACACTGTGCTCAACTGGGTAATGTAAGTGTATGTTGATGAAGTATCTCTTTATTAATCCTATCACCATCTTCTCTGTTCCAGCTTGGTGCATCATTCAGTGGGCAGAGTGATGCAGAGGATATGGACCTCTCAGACCTAAGGCCTGATACACCATCTGTAGACAGCTCCCCATGTACTGCGTCCACCCCAATTCCGTCAAATCAAGAAGCCTTTCCATTGCTGGAGGAAACTGCTTCAACTGCTTCAAGTGACAGCGGTAAACAGCCACGTTTAAGCAACAATCCCCCAAAAAGAAAGAGGGTGTCCGAGGATGTTTTAGAGCTGCAGAAGCTGGATTTGTTAAAACATATGGTTGCTCAAGTGGACTCACATCCACCTCGGGATACATTAACTTCTTTTGGGAACCAGGTGGCTTTGGAATTGAGGGATATTCAAAACCCTGTTCTGTTATCGCAAGTTAAAAGAAGCATAATGATTTTGATATACAACGCCCAGGAGAATGACAGAAGCGGGTCATTGTCATCACCTGGACAGCCTACCCCACATCAGCCTGTCAATTCAGGTTTATCAAGGGCCCAGTCTCATTCCCAGCATCCTTATTATGTCTCAGGTCCTGGGTATTATAGACCACTTTTGGAGACACAACCCGAACATGCCCATGAGTAGACATTCTAATGAACCTGTAAACAATTCTGGATTTGTACTAGGTGAAAAAATATTGTTATTTTATATTTTTTGTAGTAGTGCTGTACTTGGTATTTAAACTTGTTTGTATTGTGTTCCTTTTTTCTTTAATGTAAACATCCTTTTTATAAATAAAAAAACACATTCTAAAACCGGCTGGCTGTCCATTTCTGAAAGCTTTTATATTCTAAAGTGAAGTGATTAATTGACTGTTCAATGCTCAAATTGTCGCTGAATGAATTACAGAGTATCCTTCCCATTATAATATAATTAATTTAAAAAACCTAAAAAGTAAAATAAAGCAATAAAATGAAAAAAAAATATTTACAACAGGAAGACCTGTATGTACCAGTATGTACACTTTTATGGGTTATGGTGTATATCTATATATTTAACATATTTATTTTAGCTTATTGTTAGAACACGTATTGCTGAGCACAAACACAATCATCGAGAGGCTGCCTATTTAGAGAGCCGCCCTTTAAGTGCTGGGCGATACACAAAGTATCATAATTTCAGGGTTAACATACTCATAGTTTTCACGTAACCTCCTTTCTGAAACTGGCCTCAGAAAGGTGTTAGATTAATGTATATTGAGTAAAAATGGCCAGTGCTTAATCGACAATTATCACAATCACTTATTGCAACATATAGATTGCCTTTAATTGTTACATACCTGGGGCCTGTTTCAGAAAGGAGGTTAAGTGAAAACTCTGAGTATGTTAACCCTGAAATGAGGGAAACTCTGGGTTTTCCATTTCAGAATAGGAGGTTTGTCAAACCTGGGAAAGCAGGGTAAGTCAAGCCCGTTTCTGAAAAAGAGGTAACGTATATTCAGAGTTATCTCACTCCATCTCCTCTGCATCTCCATCTCCTCTCCATATAATTGATATGCTCAAGCCTTTTACCTGACTGAATTATGTTTTTATATTTCATTTTCAACTGCTGCCACGTTCTTTTAATGCCTGCAGGATTGCACCTAGATGAAAATTTAAACTAGGTTGAATGACATACTGTTCTTCAGTTTCACCTCTAATATTCTCTTTTTAATTACTGACTAGAAATTACATCTTCAATAGTAAAATTAGACTAACGTAATAATTACTATATTTATATTCTGTATTTAATAATTACTAAATCCCATATCAACTGTATTTTTAATGCTTTCAAATTAACAATATACAATTGCATGAATTATTCTTGAATTAAACAGAGTGTGTAGAGGGAGAACATTACAAATATTCCTTTTGTTAAATTCACTTGTTTTAAGCAGAATTGTTCAAGTCTATGCAGTATTTAATGCAATTACATCAGATTGTACTTTAAATTACAGAAGAATTAAGCATAATAACTTTAATTGAATTACAGTATTTAGATTACTTGGTAATGAATTACACCCAACACTGTACAATAAGAATTAAAATGTAAACTTAAGCATTGACTCCAGCAACTATTTTCTTCCAAGCTAAAACAGTTCTGCTACTGAGAAATATAAAGACCTCTTTTTGTCTGGCGTTGTTGCCATGGTGACTCAAAATATCTGTGCTCCATTGATAATGGCTTTTTATAGTTGTAGTGCACGCACTTAACTCAGAGTCAATCAACTTAGAGTAGACTGAACAAACTTCAGCTGTTCTGTAACCGAAAACTCAGAGTTTCCCATCTCAGGATAAGTCGACTCAGATTTCAAGTTAATTTAGAGTTGGTTGAACCTCCTTGTAGAAACGGGCCCCTCCACCGTTGGATTTGTATGCAATTGAAATAACAAACTGAATAAAAACACTACAAAAAATCATATCAAAACAATATTCTTTATTAATACAGTACTTTTGACCACACAAAAGATAATAAAAAAATGTCCAAAAATTACTTTAAACTGCTGTTTGCAGGGATAACTCTATGGCAGTTCCTTTTTAAATGTGTTGATCCTGCCAAGAAACACTTCCTGCCGGTGAGACAAAGTAGTCCCGCATCAGATTTCGTTGCATTTTTGCTGTCGCTGTATAATTGCGATGTGACGTGTTCTCCATCGGTTGGAAAGCACCCATGCCATGATTCCTCCATTGCCCATCAACCATGTTGTGGTCAGCCGTCTCCCAGTCTGCAAAAGCTGGAGGGGCATATGCTTCTGACCTGCGCTCGCAGAGGAAGTTGTGGATGCACAGAGAAGCCATTGTTATCTTCACCACCTTGTCTGGCTCCAAGCATATGGTCGACCTAAACACTCTCAACCGGTTCGCAAGAATGCCAAATGCGTTCTCTACCACCCTTCGTGCCCTAGACAAACGATAGTTAAAGACCCTCTGACTGTGCTCCATCTGCCTGAATGGATATGGCTTCATTAGGTCATGCCGTAAGGGATATGCATCATCTCCCACAAACATGTAGGGCATCACTGTGTCTGAATTGGGCAAGGGCTCGGGTGGGGGAAAGCGCAGTCTTCCCTGGTCCATTGCTTTGCGCAGGTCAGAATGAGCAAACAGTCCGGCATCTGAAACTCGACCTTGGGTACCCACACTTGCGTAGATGAACTTGTAGTTCGCATCTACTGCAGCCATCATAAGCACAGAGAACCTGCCCTTGTAATTGTGGTAAAAACTTCCACTCTTTCTTGGAGGCTGTATGTAAATGTGTTTTCCATCCAGTGCCCCAAGGCAATGTGGAAACTGCCACTTCCTTTCAAAGTCCATTGCTATTTGGTGCCACTCTCCCTCCGTCGATGGAGTCTAAAATAATAGGAAACACCAAAAGTCAATGACTGAATTATTATATGCATTCATGAACACAGTTATATGTACAACAAAATTGGATAGTCATACTTTGAGTCAAACTCCTTCTAACTTATGCTGCGTTCATGTGCTATGGTCATTATGGTAAATACCAAAAGCCGACGTGGAAAATGCACATGAACCCCCCCTCATGTGGTATTTTCCACTGGGCAACTCGTAGAATATTTTGATGGACGAGTTGCCGAGATGAGATAACCTTTGACCATTACAAAATGGCGGAGAGCCCGGCGAGAGTCGTGAATGGTAAAAAATATATATGATCAAGAAAATATACAGCATATTATTTACCTTTTGAGTTTTGATAAATCATGTTCTTGTTGTTGCAGATGACTTAAACAATCTAAAATAGTTTTAGCTAAATAACAGGTCTGGATCTCCATCTTTTCACAACATTATGACAACAAAAGCACTTGAACGCAACACACTGGTAAATACCAGTTCACAAGTGGAAAATATCCTATTTTCCATAGCATGTGAACGCAGCATTAATCCATTTAAATATGTATATAAAGGTAAACTATAGATTAAACATTCAAGTATGTGTAGACATAAATATATTTACTTATGTTTTATCAAAATACTTGTATGAAAAAGGAAAGTCCACTGTATATTGTCGATGTCCACAATGTTGACGTTGTTGGTGTTCTATTTAAAAATGTATATCTTTGCATTTTGTAATGACTCCTTACCTTCAAGAAATCCTCCTTCATAACCTGGTACAGAGCTGTACAGGTTTCCATCACTATTGTGAGATGGTGCTGGTGCCCATCCTGTACTGGAATCTGAGGGACTTGAACGCTTCACCTGCATGACACCAAAAAGTTCAGATACATAAGTTACCCAGACAGACAAAAATGTTATCACTACATTCATGGAATGTTCGTTTAAAACGAAATCATACAAACCTGTTGCCAAGAACCGCAGGGTCAAAGAAAGACGCTCTCTAGGTGGTATTGCACGTCTCATCTTGGTGTTCTGCTTTGTTATAAGATGCTGGACTCTATCCAGCAAAAAATCAAACTCCTCCGCCGTCATTCGCAGCAACTCCCTGAAGCCTGTCCTATCATTATTCTATTACAACGATAAATAAATAAAGAAACACGGCTTTTTATCACAGCCCACAAAACTTTGACTTTTTAACAAAATGCGGGCGTCAGCCGAACATAAACATGCAGCTACATCTCCGATATAAACATGCTGTACTCACCTCCAACTCTCTCTGTAGCACAGACAATCCCTGCTGATCGCGTAAACGGATCCACTCTTTCACCCATACTCTCTTATTTTTTCTTTTTTTGTGTTTTGTCTCAGAGCAAATAATTGCACACACAGTTTGGACCACAAGCTTTTGTCTAACCTCCATACTTGTGTGTCGTGTTTATTCTTTGTCTTCTTCGCTGGGTATTGTTGCGCGTGCTGTGCTGTTTTGCGTCATTTCCGGTTCGTTTTATCGCGTGATTTTTCGTGACAAAACGTGGTTTGTAGACGAGATTTAATCGTTGGGTGACAGAGTTGTTGTCAAATCCTGTAGTGCGTCAGCTCCAGTTGCAGATCAATCACGATGTGTCGTTTGGTGTGAACGGCTCAACAACTTGAGCACTCCTGATTTCACAGAGAGAAAGTCATGTAGTGTGAACTGCACAGTTCAGCCCGACGTTTTAAAATCATGTAGTGTGAACAAGGCTTAAGGGCTACACTCGTGACCGCTGGAGATGCCGCCGGAAGTGCCGCTTCGAGATGCCGATGCCGCATTTTGCACTAGCCCTCTCTCAAAATTATTCGGGAGAGTTTCACATGTAATACATAGCTATTTCATATGCAAGCGTGTCAGCCAATCACAGCAGAGGCCGGATTACACACAGCAGACACGCCCCTTCAAACAGAGCGTTCAAAGCAGAGGCTAAAATCAGGCCAGGAAAAATGCCTTTTATTTCTAAATTATGACTATTTTTGATCTAAAAAACATACTAACATTGCAGGAAATATTATAAAATAATTTTTAAAAACATTCGGGGCACCTTTAACATTTGAATAAACAATAAGCATCAAATGTTAAAGAAAAGCAGACTTCAGTTTGTCACCAGCGCAGAGAAAGCCTGTAGCTTCAATAGGATCAAATCAATGTACTTTCATTAACTGCTAGTTCTGGTTATTATGAAGTGATGATTGACTGTTTCCTACTGAGACAAAGCAGTGATCATAACAGCCCTCTGATCTAATAACTAGTAATAACACTTCTCATTGATACTTCTGGCTGGTTTATTGGAGTGATGATGGTTCTGTCACGTGGTTTGCGTGAGATGTGCAACCTCTGATCCGATAACCAGAATCAAAGAGGACATGAGTAAAAAGGAAGATTACACAACTTTTTATATTATTAAATATATATTGCCTCACATGACTCTGTGCTCTGGCAATAAGAGAAATGATTCTTTTTGATGTATTGACTCATTTGCTCCATGAAGTGATTCATTGATTCACTGATTCTCAGCGCCACTCTGGCGACTCCTGCTGGTCAGAACTTTTACTAACACCTTTTACTAACGACTGATAATGTTTCATTGAAACTGTAATCCGTTTATTGCAATTTACAAATCATACAACATCATTAAATATGAGGGATCTTTATAATACGTGATATTATATTAAATTGTAGGGTTTGTATTGTTTCTTTTATGGAGAGCTTGATTAATCAGTCCAACAAGAGACTTAGGGGGCTTAGAAAACAGAAAGTGGGTAAATAAGCAGAAGTGTGTCTGTTTTTAATAATTCGCTGCTATTGTGTGCAGTTGAGTGAACAATACATGTTTACTGTGCGTGTGTCACATAAGGTGGACTTCTGCTGCTTGCAAACGGACTCTTTTGAGGAGACAGTGGATTTCCAAATGTGGTGCCCTGATTTCACACACAATGCACGAATACACTGCAGGCTCACTCTCGCTCGTACCCAAGGTAAATCATCAACACTATCATCCCTTACAAGTGTTTTATTTAACTGAATACATCACAATAAGCTAAAACACATGCGCAGGATACTTTACTTCCTGATAAAGTGCGCGGCCGGATTAATCCGTGCTGCTTTCACATTCACGCGAACCGCGGCACGGCCCTTACGAAAATTAACCATGGTTTTACTATAGTAAAACTGTAGTAGTAACTATGACCGTAGTAACCGTGGTATTTTGGTGCGAACCATGGTTTTTAAAAACCATGGTTTTGATACCATGGTTTTACTACAGTAATATTGTAGTAATACTACAGTAAAACCATAGTAACCATGACTGTAGTAACTGGTAAAAACCATGGTTTTGATACCATGGTTTTACTACAGTAAAATTGTAGTAATACTACAGTAAAACCATAGTAACCATGACTGTAGTAACTGGTATTTTTAAAAACCATGGTTTTGATACCATGGTTCTACTACAGTAATATTGTAGTAATACTAGTACAGCAAAACTGCAGTTTTACTAAATTATCTTGAATTACATTTAAGCCATTCAATTACAACAAACACCTACAAAATAACAACAGAAAGAAGTTATCATTCTATGATACAGACTTTATTACAAAAATTACATAATCTGAAAGAAAATATAAACTTGCATTTGTTCTCACATGTGACATAAAACAATAATTTGACTACAAAGTTATAAAACATTATTGGTGATAAAGTGGTGCTGTACAATGGTAAAAAAAAAATCAGTTTCTAATTTACAAATAAAAAAATAGCAATTTGTTCCACTGTAATAATGATTTATATACAAAAATAAGATAGTACAAATAAACATGACTTAGAACACCTTTAAATACACAGCATCTACCTCCTCTAAAATGTCTATAACCTGTGAACCACACCTGTCCAACACAAGCGTGATTGCAATTTATACTGTACATTCATTAACAGGATTACAGCAATATTACTTGACAAGAACAATAAATACTATAAATTCAGAAGAAATTGAGGAGTTCTTTTAAGAATGTTTTAAATGATATCCACTCACAAGAGATGAAGACATGGAGGGATGGGGGATGACTAATCCACACTTTAAATTCTAGGTGAAAAAGGTTTTGTTGAAAAACATGTGATGCCGCATCCACGCCAGTAGTTGTCAGTATGAAGTCTGTCATATGACAGTAGGTTACAGTCCAGCTTTGGGTTGGTTCTGTCTCGACCTTCAGCCCAAATGGACGCAGGAGCTAAAATGAGAAGAATACACACCACATTAACATACAAGCTGGAATACTCAACTGCTATTGGTCAGTTGCACTATATGGCCAAAAATACATTTTGGTCCAAAAAAAACAAAAACTATGACTTTATTCAGCATTACATTGTCTTCCGGTTCTATTGTCAATCTGTGTTTAGTGCCGCTGCTGACGTGTCTGGTGCACCCGAGCTTAGTTTACAGTCTGAGGGAGATGCACACTGCAAACAAAACAATCTTCGTTCTAAGGATGTCTAAGGATTTCGACACAGAGGAAGACTTGCATTTATCTTGCCCAGCCATATTTATTTGAACCCGAATAAATATTTGCGTGAACGCGGCTTGACAACGCGGCTTTTACCCATCCTTACATATGGGTGAGTTCATATAGATGAAGGCCTGTTGTGTTCTGTCTCTTGGTTTGTGATAGTGGCAGCTTTTGTGAAACTCACCTTCATCATGTACTGAGTGTGGATGTCATCAAGATCTTGTCCTGAAGAATCACAGGGCCAAACGACTATATCTCATCTGGTAACAAGAGCATAGCCATAACTTTAAGATCCCCTGAATTAAAGGGATAGTTCACTTTGAAATTAATTTTTGATATGTTTTAACTTACCTCAAGTGCATCCAAGATGTAGGTGTCTTTGTTTCCACAGTAGTTTCAATTTTGACATTTTTCGGTCAAACTGTTCTAGTCTGTCAGTCATATAATGGAGGTCTATGGTCACCACCTCAAAGAGCATGCACAGAGAAGTCCAAATTAAACATGATTAAATGATTCGTAAATGTAAGTACACACTGATGGCCTAAGACACGAAACGAGCGGTTTGTGAGAGAAAACAAACAGTATTTATATAACAGCCATGCCCAAGTGATCTGAATTAGCTGAGCAATGTCCAACTGAACTGAACCATGTCCAACGTTCCGCCGGAAGTGATCACCTGCGCGTGTAGGTCACTCATTGTTTACACAAAGATTTTGGATGTTTTACCTTTCACTGTGAAGATCTAAACATATTTAGATATACCGAAATCGTCTTCCATTTCGATTTCATGTATAGCTAAATATGTTTAGTGAAAGGTAAAACATCCGAAATCTCAGTGTAAACAATGAGTGACGTCGACTCGCAGGCGATCACTTCCAGCAGAACGTTGGACATGGTTCAGTTCGGTTCGGTTGGACATTGGATAACTGATTCAGATCACTTGGACGTGGCTGTGGATACACAAGGTAAAAACTATATAAATACGAAACGAGCGGTTTGTGTGAGAAAACGATCAGTGTCTTAGGCCATCAGTGTGTACTTACATTTACGAGTCATTCAATCATGTTTAAGTTGGACCTCTCTGTGCATGCTCTTTGAGGTGGGCTCTATAGACCTGCATTATATGACTGATAGACAAGAATGGTTTGACCGAAAAATTTAAAATACTGTGGAAACAAAGACACCTACATCTTGGATGCCCTTGAGGTAAGATAAAACATATCAAAAATTAATTTCAAAGTGAACTATCCCTTTAAAGAATTTCAGTATTTATCAGTAAAAAATACATAAAATAAATAAATATCTTTGCATTGAACAGTATGGTGTCTGTCTCATTGGCCAACATAATTAAAAACACACCAAGAGAAATAAAATAAAATATACCAATGACCATGATATGCTGTTATCATAATAGTTAAATTAATTATTATTATAACTATGACCATTATAACATTTGCCGCCGATAATTTATCCCACAGGTTTCTCAAGAACAGTCTCACTGAAAAAAAATTTAAAGTGTGAGACTTCATTCAAAAGCATAAATCTTACAGACCCCAACTTTTGAACAGTAGTGCACTGTATGTTTGAGGTTTTGCTTACTAACCGAGTTCATAGCCGTGGAGATTGTCTTGGACAGGGGGTGCAGCCGGACTTCAGCATGATGATCTTCTAGACTAGAACATGCAATGTGTCACAGAGCCAACAATGTTACAAAGGATTTGCAATAGAACATAGGGTGTATTACAAGGAAGTAGGGGTGTAACGGTACATGTATTCGTATTGAACCGTTTCGGTTTGAGGCTTCCGGTTCGGAATACATACAAACCGAACGACTGCTTGGACCATTTTTCCTGCCGGCAAAATTCTTGCTGACGCGGCCAACACAACATCAAATGGCAAGCGTAATGAAAGCAGAACGAAACTGCGCTACTCGTTATGTGCTTCACAGATCGTTTATCAAAGATGAGCCCCATTTATAAACCTGAAAGTTTCAAGATCTAGGAAAACCCACAATTATTTAAAAATATTTTTTCTTTAAACAAATAGGAAATTTCTCTGGCATTTCTTTCTTTTTGCTGTATCGAAAACGTACCGAACAGTGACTTTAAAACCGAGGTACGTACCGAACCGTGATTTTTGTGTACCGTTACACCCCTACAAGGAAGGATATATATATATATATATATATACACACATCTTAAGGTAATATATATTGTGAAATAATCATCTGGAATAACAATTTAACAATAATTCCCCCTTTGTTGTGGAGCAGGGGTGTCAAACTCAGTTTCTGGAGGGCCACAACAACCCTGCAGAGTTTAGCTTCAACCCTAATTAAGCACACCTGATCAGCTAAGTCCTTCAGGCTCATTTGAAAACTGCAAGTGTGTGTTGAAGCAGGGTTGGAACTAAACTCTGTAGGGCTGTGGTCCTCCAGGAACTGAGTTTGACACCCTGTGGAGGGTTTTTTTTTCTGTCCCTCCTGACGTCACTGATTAACAGTACAGTGAATTATTTTAGGTTAAATAAATTAGCTTACTTCCAATCACCCATTGACAAATACCAGCAAAACAAAACTATCAAAAACTGTTATCAACACAAAGATGTGGTTAAAACCCTAAACTTATAAGTTATAGCTAAAACAAGAGTTTAGTGTAACGTAACTCACCTCTTCTGAAAACGGTTGAGATGCTAACGGACTTTTTACGAAGACACAAACCCATTTCTATAAAGTAAATATTCAACAGAGCGTATTAATTACACGTAAGAAGGGTGTCAGGAACGTTTGTACCTATTATTTGTGTGATTTTGTTAACTAAACTTACCTGAAAGCAGTGCAAATTTTCAAGCGAGAGACGGTTTTGCTGTTTGTCCGTTGTCGATGACGTTCCTCGTTTCCATAGAGCTCGTTTCCATCTGATCACGCGACGCGCGCGCTCCTGTCTTTGAATGCGGCTCGAATGTTTACGCGCACGCGCATTACCATACACGGCAAAGGCACGCAGCTGGCATTTAAATAAACATCTAGAGTTATAACATGATTTTAAATCATGATTTTAAAACTCATTGTGTAGCTCTATGGCCCATTCACTTCTATAGGTTTTTTTTTACCAACTACAAAATGAAGAATGGTTTATATATATATATATATATATATATATATATATACACACACACACACACACACATGTACTATATAACTATAATAATACAATTATTTATGACCTTAAGATTATTCTATTAAGAGCATGGTTTTCTTATACAAAACTATATTATATATAATGGTTACTGTATAAAAAACATTTTTTTATGGTTACTATGGTTTTACTACAAAAATCAAGGTTCATTTTATAGTTTCTATGGTTTAACTACAAAAACCATGGTTAAACCAATGTTATTGTAGTAAAAAACATGGTTTGATTGTAGTTACTATGGTTTTACTGTAAAAACCATAGTTATACTATGGTTCATTTTGTAGTTACTATGGTTTTACTGTAAAAACCATAGTTATACTATGGTTCATTTTGTAGTTACTATGGTTTTACTACAAAAACCATAGTTAAACTATGGTTCATTTTGTAGTTACTATGGTTTTACTACAAAAACCATAGTTAAACTATGGTTCATTTTACTATGGTTTTACTACAAAAACCATAGTTAAACTATGGTTAATTTTGTAGTTACTATGGTTTTACTACAAAAACCATAGTTAAACCATGGTTACTACAAAAAAACCATAGTTACTACAAAAAAACCATGGTTAATTTTCGTAAGGGGGTTCAGGAGCAACCGAACTCCAGGCAGTCTCGGGTTCGGTACCGCAGTGCGCATCCGGGTCCCATGACAGCGTTCACATTAGCGAACCGTGCCCCGTTACCAACTAAACTGCCCCCTTAAATACAACTCTTGCTTTTTATTTCACAAGCGTCATGAAATGTGTACAAATGGAGAAAAACAACCTTTTACTCTCACAAGACTGTATTATCCAGATCATTTAAACGTATAGGAAACTTTAAAATACACTGGCTGATGAGGTTGTAAATTGTTCATGCACTCTTAAAATGGATGTGTTAAAAACAACACAACCTGTGTTATATCTTAACACATCTGTGTGTTTAGTTAAGGACAACACATTTTGTGTTACTTTTAACTCAACCAGTGTGTTATTGTTCTTAACACAGGGAGTGTGATTTCACTAAGTTTGCACTTTGAATTAGATTTAAATGTAGCAACTGACAAAATATTGTGTGTAAATAAGTTTTATTTACACTGGTGCACTCTTATAAAATGATTTTGTAAATAACACAACCTGTAAAAAGAGATGTTAAAAATGACACATGCTGTGTAGATTTTAACACATATAGTGTGTGTGCTTAGGGACAACACATTTTGTGTAGATTTTAACACATGTTGTGTAGATTTTAACACATGTAGTGTAGATTTTAACACATGTTGTGTAGATTTTAACACATGTTGTGTAGATTTTAACACATGTTGTGTAGATTTTAACACATGTTGTGTAGATTTTAACACATGTAGTGTGTGTGCTCAGGGACAACACATTTTGTGTAGATTTTAACACATGTTGTGTAGATTTTAACCCGTTTTGTAGATTTTAACACATGTAGTGTGTTTGCTCAGGGACAACACATGTTGTGTCAAATTTAACACACAACCTGTGTCGTTTCTTTACACATCTCTGTGTTTATAAGGATTACACATTTTGTGTTACGTTTAACACAACTAATGTGTTAGACAGCAGCAGTGTGTTGTTGAAACCTTTTACACACTAATGTGTTATAGTAACACAACTTGTGTCAGATATGCGTCACATGTGACTGTAGTCGGAGAGTATTTGCCAGAGTTACTTCCCGTGTGCTTACAAAAGTGTTTGGATGAACACTGACACGTATTGGTAACTTGTGTTTATGTAGTCCAGTGATGTTTAATAGAGTTTGTTTGAACATTTGGATCTTTTAAACATCATTAATCTACATAGACAAGCTCTTATTGAGAATTAACAGAGGTTTGATGTTTCATTTCAGTTTTATTTCAAGTCACCAGAATCGTGATTAATGGCTCCTTTATTTGGGCTCTTGACCGTTTACTCTTGTTTTAGTGTTTCTCTGGCTGCTGTAACTGTATTTTAATCAAATATATCTGTTATGGTGAGAGAAAATATGATCAGATGGTTCTTGATGATGTCATAATCAGCAAGTTATGATCAAGTTTTTGAGTATATGGATGGAGTGCTTTATTTTAATGATTTATTGTTAGTTCGGAAAGTTTTGTGAAACTACATCCAGCAATCAAAAAGTGCAGAATGACAAAAAAAAGTTTAAAGCTACGGCAGAAACCAGTCAAACACAGATATCAAGAATCAGCGTATGTATCTCAATAATGGTGACAAACGAAAAATTTCAGGCCGCAATGCATGCTGGTACTTATGGATGAGCTTTATAGAGACATGAAGCTTTGCCACCATTGTTGAGAGTCATATGCTGATTCTTGATGTCTGAATTTGACTAGTTTCTGCTGCAGCTTTAAACGTTCTCTAAACATATTTTTTTAAGAATTATAGCATAAGGTAACATACACCATAATATCATGTAAAAACTGAGTATCTGTAATCAAATAAAAGTGATCAAATATACGTTATCTCTTAAACATTAAACTTCTCTTGCTATGTTAAAAAACATCATGTTGAAAACTGATCATTTAATGATCTTTTTCTTCAAGATAATTTGAACTGTTTCAGATGTGCAATATAAATACTGCCCTACAAAGCAAAAAGGCAGTAACTGCAGTTTTGGTAAAGCATTAATTATTACAATTTTCATGACATTTAAGGCATCCTTTGTTATGTGACAAAACATCTTATCTTAAATGCGTGTCGTTTTAGAGAAAAATGGTAGTTGTTTGTACAGTAACTGCAAAAGGCCCTAGCAAAAGTCATTTTTCTCAGTTCTGCACTCTGCGTAGTTACTGCCTTTTTGCTTTGTAGGGCAGAATACACAGAAACAGTAAACAGAGAAACGAATGGTAAAGAGTGAAGGGTCAAGAGCCCAAATAAAGCTGCCACTAATCACGATTCTGGTGACATCAAAACAAACATTCAATGAATCGTCAACACAAAACCTGGTAATTCTCAATAAGTGTTTCTGTAGACGTCTGACAGAAATAAATTGTTTGTTATAATAAATTAGTTATCAATAACAAGTGAAATCAGCATTTGAAAAAACATTGAAACCGAGGCATGATGTGATTGGCTGCCAAAAACACTCATTAATCTGAAGTTTTTTTATGAATTAAGATTTTATTTATTTATTGTAATGTATTGTTTCATTTATTTTAGAGCTTGTTATGGGATACCATATAAAATATAAATGTAACTGGATAGAATTTTAATGGGTGGAGGGAAGTTTGTGTTTATGAACCTAATTAGAGCTCTAATTAGGTTCATAAACACAAACTTCCCTCCACCCATTAAAATTCTATCCAGTTACATTTTAACACACATTGTGTGTTAAAAACTACACAACTTGTGTCAAAATACCATCAACACATGATGTGTGTTGTTTTTTAACACATCTCTTTTTAGAGTGTGTGTTAATATGGTCACAGTTTAAAGAGACATCGGTCACACTTTATAATATCTGCATGCTATTAATCATTAGTTAAGCATTAGAAAACAGATCATTCATCATTCATAAAGCAAGACATTAATAAGCTGTTTATAAATACAGCTATAAATGATTTATTCTTGATTTAAAAGCAGATATATGTGTTTAATAATTGTATTTTCATACTTTATTAATGATCAAATAATAATTTCTAAATGAAGTATAGCATTATTTACAAACCAGTTATTTAAGAGTTGTCAGTCACTTAGAAAGTGTAAGTGAATGTAGTTTAGTACTGGGTCTTATATTTTTCAATGCACAGCAATATTGACTATGCATGTCTATATTGCATAATACATATTACATAATTATAAATAAAGACAAAAATACAATTACATGTAATAGAAGGTTTATCCTTTATTGTCTACAGATGCCACATACAGTACATGTGCTACAGTTTGACTCTTTGTTTCCCCTTTTTCTTAGTGTTTTGGTTTAGTCCTATTCAGTTTTCCCGCTCCTCGTTTGTCCTCAGTTTATTCACCTGTGTTTAGTTAATTATCTTCATCCATTTCACCTGTCTCCTATTCATTATTGTCATCAGTACTCTGTATTTAGTTTCCCTCAGTTCATTCAGTCTTTGTCGGTTCTTGTAAATGTTTTGGTGTTGTTGCAAGTGTTCCTGCCCGTCTTCCTGCCAATCTGTACCTGTGAGAGTTTTCTGAAGTAAACTATATGAACTAATAATTGGAGCTTTTGACTTTGCCGTTCTTCACCCGCACCACAAGAGTTGAAAAGAGTTACCACAGATTTACGGTTCCCAGCATGCTTTGCTTCTGACTGTTTTAGGAGAGCAAATGTTAAAATGAAGAGTTATTTGATGTGTTTTCCTTAATATTAATATACAGGAAGATCTGGTAGTGTTTAATGGTCTAGTATTTAGGAATATAAAAGGTTTTGTGGTATATTTCTGGAGTTTTTGGGGTTACCACTGTGCTGAAGAGTTGAGCTTGTGGTTCGGTTGATGAGTTTTTGAGGTCAAAGTCTGTATCCATTACTTTATTAAATACATCTGTGAATTATTTTACACAGGTATATTCACTTTGTCTCATACTTTTATCTATTCTAGTGTGCTTTAGTGATGGGAAGCTTGGATCATTTTACTGACTCAGATCTTTGAGTTTCGATCAGTAAAATGAATGAATCATTTATCTAGTCATTTCATTCATTTCGGTCATTTCATAATTATATAATTAAAATGTTACGTTAAAGGACAACTCCGGCGCAAAATGAACCTTTGGTCTAATTACACATTGCTACCTAGTCAACTGTTATCTGAGTTTTGTTTTCATGATTGCCGAATGTAATTAGTTTTATCTCTAAAAACAGTTTAGCCTATAATGCTAGTATAATGCTAGTATATGGGGCATAGAGTAATGACAAATAAAAATCACTTGTTATTACCACTAACAAGGCTCAAAATAGCCCCACTATAACACGACAGCATAATAAGGATCCCTACATTCAAACCGAAGCATTGAGAACTTTGTCAGTGTCCATACAGTTTAATAAGAAGATATTTTATACACACAGTCAACTTCGAGAATACAGGAAAAGCCATCTTTGAAAAATAGTCTCTACCAGTCGATCTACGAATGCCGGTCCAAGTGCGCTGAACTGTGCAGAATCTCATATGGTCCGTTGTTTCCAGAAGAAACACAAACACAAACCGTTTTCTTCTCTTCAATATGTACACGTAGCCTACTGTTCGCGCTCACCTTATCACCTTATTCACATCTCACCAGCGCACTTGGATCGGCGTTCGTAGATCGACTGGTAGAGACTATTTTTCAAAGATGGCTTCTTCCTGAATTCGCGAAATTTACTGTGTGTATAAAATATCTTCTTATTAAACTGTATGGACACTGACAAAGTTCTCAATGCTTCGGTTTGAATGTAGAGACCCTTATTATGCTGCCGTGTTAGTGTGGGGCTATTTTGAGCCTTTTTAGGGGTAATAACAAGCGATTTTTATTTGTCATTACTCTATGCCCTATATACTAGCGTTATACTAGCGTTATAGGCTAAACTGTTTTTAGAGATAAAAGTCTTTACATTCGGCAATCATGAAAACAAATCTCAGATAACGGTCAACTACGTAACAATGTGTAATTAGACTAAAGGTTCATTTTGCGCCGGAGTTGTCCTTTAAATATCCCAAAACATCTACTTACGAAAATCTTAATTACATTTGTAAAAATAACATAAATAATAGGGTAATGCAGCCAAAGCCAAATTAAAAGCAACTGAAATAACTGTATTAATAGAGGGAATGCGCATGACGTCACCGTCGGCCGGCGAGCCTGCAGTTCCTCACAGTGAGTGGCAAAAAGACTGAGCGGCTGTATATGTGTTCAGCGTGAATACCGCGAAAAACAAACACAACACACAAATAAAGTGCACTGAAAAAATGGCAATGGGCAGATTGTTGAATTTGCCTAAATGCATTTCGTATTTCCTACATGATTATTTCATGTTTCTCATCCAAACATATTTTAGTCTTGTGCCATTAATTTAATGTTGAAGGATGTTCAACCTTTGAAAAAAAATCATGTTGAAATGAAAGAAATCAGTTATGTTTTCTCTGGAAACTCCGCCCCCATGAGAACCGTTAACTGCTCGTGCGCGCCACTCCTCCATTTTCTCTCTCGCTCTGGACGGTGGAAGCAGAGCCCGTGGAAGCTGACTGCAAGTTGTCGTGGTGGAAAGCTACAGTCGAAGGTAATTAACATTTTTTAACTGAAATTCTATTGAAAAACGGTTAGTAGTCCGTTTGAGCGCATTTATTTTCACCGAGGGGACTTTTTTTATGTACATTACTGATTTTAGGGAAAGGCAAAACTTAAGTTAGGCCTAGAGCAAATGTTTAAGGTAACGTTAAGTTAGTTAAGTTAACGTTATGTATCCCGTTTAAAATCCGACTTGCATTAGCTTTTTAAAAATGGTGTAGTCATTAAGGCATATTTTTTCTGTGTATGAGAACTATTTCGCGTCAGATAATGAGTGGCGTCGACGCATTTTGGGTGGAGGAGGGGATATATTAGGCGTGAATGTGAATGTTATGCTTTCTGGGTCTGGCCGAACTGTAACGTTATACCTTTTTAAATTTTAGCACAAAGAACACAAAACTTACTTGTTATTCCGCCCTTATTGCAAATTCTATTTTAAAGAAGCTAACGTAGTTTAATTCTGCAACGAATGGAAAAATCCTGTCAGGTAATGAGTTTTGCCGACAGGGGTGGATGTCTAAATGTTAATCGACTTTATTTCCTCATTGGGCAATCTGAAAGTCTCATAAAATGCTTGCCACGTTCAAATTGTGCTGAATTATTACAAATCCGCTCCAAATCCGCACTGGAGCAGAAGCATCGATAAGAGTTAACGTCGAGGGCATATATCGATGTTTCATAACTCCTGGTTCTCTTGTGGAACCAGTTTTCAATTCCAATCCCTAACTGCGACAATTTCACTCGGATATGCGACTAAAAATAGACGTGTGCGAACTGTAAAATGTATTTTGGAGCACAAACAAAAAGTCGCTGCGGATCAGTCTTTAATACCTTAATTTGTATAACAAGGGGTTTAAAAAATATTAATCGTACTGCCTAATGTGATTATTAAATGTCAAAAGGCTATGACTTATGGAAGCTCATATGAGTAGCAAGCAAATAATATTCAATTTGAAATGTAATACACAAAATGACAATGCAATATGTAAAATGGCAATGCATTTCTGTATTTAATTTCCTATACATTTGTCCAACGTTTGGTGCTAAATTTAAATGATATAATTTACATTTTCTATTTCATACACTAGATTTAAGTTTTAAAACTACAATCTGTTAAAAAAACATTACTGTTTACTAATGAAACCTCATTCTAAGCCTTATTAGTAACACTGCTACAATAAGAATTTATCAGTTTATTATTATTTTTATTTATTTTTATTAAAAAGGAAATGTGCTCAATTCCCTGAAACCCTAACTAGCCCACCTCTGGGAATATGTTATTGCTTTAAAACTAATTATTTTTATTTATTTATTCATTTATTTTTTCAAATATTTTACAGATATCAGATTCATGTACCAGTGCACATGCAATGTGACTTGGAAATTCTCTAGTAGTGGTGAGTATTTTTGTAAAACTACTGCAAGTATATTTGATAGCTTTTTCTATTTTGTGTTTGTCCATGTCATTTCAATATTCCTCTCTATGGAAATGTTAAATTTTTTTTTTCTGTCTCCCTCCAGTGAATGTGGCAGTGTAAAGGGTGCCCGGTAGCAGTTCCAAGTAGATTGGCATTACTAAGTCATCGTAAACTGAGACATCCACACTTTGGGCGTACAAGCCGTTATCCATGTAAGTACTCAGAATGCCCATGCACATTTAAGACATGGAATGCTTTAGAAGATGGCTCAATTGCGTGAGACTCGCGCTCAATGCGTGTGAGAGTTGGCAACCCTGCAAAAGGCATCAAGAGCTGTTTACGAAATGGGGAAAACGTATAAAAACCCGCTTCTTTTTTCTCGTCACTTTAGCCTTGATTCAAGGCTAAAGTGATGAGAGAAAAAGAAGCGGGTTATTATAGGTTTTTTCGTCCACTGGTATTGTCCCATGCTTTTTTATTATTGCTATAGCAATCTTACATTGCTTCTCTTGTTGCCTTTTGACTGAAAATGACAACGAAAAGTCACACAATGTGATATCATATCAATATTTTATTTTCTGAGTTGTGTATTCTGAGTTTGTTGCAGTAAAAATCCAAAGACTATAGAAATAAGTGTCAGTAGCTCACTGAGTTCAACCATTTGACATCATCTGTAGAAACCCTAATTTATGTAGAGTACAATTTATCTTTCATAATTAAAAGCTCATTAACCAACCAACCTGCTAGTTCGATAATAGATCAGGCCCTTTAACAGGATTGTTTTCTTTCTTTCTTTTTTGCGGCCTAAAATGACTGAATTTTCAGTGGCTCAAAATTTGCGGCATTGTTCCTTTTGTTGTTGAAGGGTTTTGCAACCTATGCAAGCTAAGGAGGGATAGCCATTGGCATGTGAAGTGTTTTATTTATTTATTTATATATATACAAGTCCCTTGAAATGGACATATATTCTGACACCGTGTCCTAACTACACGCGACGCCGCGATAAAAGGTATCTTTTCCACGTTAATCAGAGTTTTTGTCCTAACCAGACGCGTTGGCGACACGCGAAGTTTCTAATTTAGAAACAGTTCCTATTTCTGCGACGTCGCGGCTGACAGAATGAAGAAATGAATGAAGTGATGAAGTAAAATGTCCGCTCATGACACGCTGTTCTGAATGTGTGGCATCTCACAGTCGCGTCGCGTCTAGTGTGGACAGACACACTTGTTGTCGCTGGAATTTTATCGCGTCGCGTGTAGTTAGGACACGGTGTGAGGTGATCATTCCACAGTCACATAGCATGTTTTATTAAGTTAGATGCAACAAATACTAATAAAGTTATAGTTTAGAAGTAGTGCAGCTGTGTATAAAGCCAATTGGATGTCTTGGGGTTAAAATTGTAGGACCATCCACAATCCTAGAACTAGTCTAACAGTAATCTGTAATCAGTCATCTATCTTTCTTGGTCTTATCTGGTTTACATTTTATGCAAGCTCTTTCATGATATCTGCATTATTAAATGATTGAAATTACATTTGTTATAATATTCCCAAAGCAGTGTCCGGTGTTCTGTAGAATCTCATTTTGTCTGCATTCTGCAGGTTGGTGACGAAGCCTCTATTCAAAAATCCACAGAGAAGACCACAGTGGGACTCTACATTCTAAAATTTCATGACCGATCTGACGACATTGGGATTGTCCTTGAAGGCCAGAACATCTTGCAAGGCTTGGATAACTTTGCATTAACTACGGGAATGCTTTTTGCTCTAATGAGGTACTGCAGAAGATAATCATGGAGCTGAAAGGATGCACTCCATCCAAGAAAGCTCAAGTTCTCAGAAACAGACTCTATGAGTGAGCTGTTTCCATGGTACGGCAGGCGGACACAATGTAGTTTCCTACCTCTTGGAATAAGGAACATTTATTTTTTTATTTCACACACTCACAAAGAACTTCCTTTATTCAAAAGTGTACTCTGTTTGATATGAGTAGGTTGACCACTTGGGTGGGTGCTTTGAGTATGGGTGATTTGAGTACGGGTGCTTTGAGTAAAACTGATATGCTGTCATAGCTTAAATTCCATGAACAAATGTCAATGATCAATGACAGCATACCAGTTTTACTCAAAGCACCCGTACTCAAAGCACTATACTCTGAAAAAGCTGGACAGTAATGATGAGTATTAGTAGTCCAAAGCTTCCCCTCACGTTTTTGTTTATTTTTCATGAATTTTAATATCTGGGTGGATTGTCCTATTAACCAATAGCTTTAACCAAAGCAAGGATTGAAGCAAGGATCATAGCGCAAATTTGAAATATATTGATATATCGCCCAGCCCTGGTGACCTAACTGTCAACTGACAACGATACCAGCGCAAGAGCGACTGAGATACGAAATTGAGCAGGTGAACAAGCTGAACCAACTAGACATTCTCTGGCTGAACGCAAATACGTCCTTGTTGATACTTTGTAAGGAACTTTCTGTACGCACGTCAGCCAGTTATGGGTTATGACCTCATATTCTCTCCTTTTCACTCCGGCTGCCGACACCCGTCCCCCTCTTTTTTTTATTTATTTTATTTTATTTTTTTTACAGATCTGCATGATTCACGTAGTTCACATTTTCAGGTCAGAAAATTCGGAATTCCGGATTAATCTGGAAAAATCACATCCCTGGGTTATGCGTATTTGGCGTGCTGTCCGTGTGAGGGGGAGGGCTCCCAGCTCGGAAATTGTGCCCGAACCCAGAGTACTCCCCCCGTATACGTTTAGGAAGATAATCAGGCAAGTGTGAGGAGATGGGGTGGTGGGAGGGATGCTGAAAACTGTGGAGAACTATGGGTGAGTCGACTGCGAATATTTGTAGGCATATTTGTTGACAGCCGGCTGGAATGACTTGATTGATCATTAGAACGTGTTCTTCCCGAACCTTGTTAATAAAACATTAATTCTTGTTTTAAAAAATGAGGATGTCAACATGTTCTAGGAGACGCGAGCACAACCTATTTACGGTCGTTAATGGAAATGACAATACTGTTCTCTTTTGTTGTTTGTTAACACTATGTATGTAGCCTAAATCGCGCAGTTGGGGGTTTAATTTATGTTAATAACACGACAGGAAAACATCCTGCTGCGATCTGTGACGCATGCAATCCTGCTACTGTACAATTAACATTTAAAGTAACAATTTTCTGGACACAAAATTAACTCAAAATTGCAAACCTGTTATGGCCTGAACTTTTTCAACATCCAGCTGTTTTTTGGGGGGCCCCAGCCCTCTCCCAGATTTTCCTGTTAGGGTGGACTCTGCCAGCAGTTCCTTTGTGAACAGCAGAACAGCAAGCTCTTGGGCAAAAATGCTCATCCGAGATCTGTTCAGCCGCTGGTAGGCCCTCTTCAGAACACTCACTGCACTTCCAGCCAATGAGTGCTGTATAAAGAGCAGGAGGAAGAGAGAAAGAGAGAGACTTCATTGACAAATTAATATATATTAGGGAGATGTATCTATAGCCCCTTTCACACAGCGAGTTGATCCCAGGAAATTGCCGGCAAATTGCCAGAACGCCTTCTGTGTGAACGCAAACACGACCTGGGATTGCTTCTGGGATTGATCCCGGGTTGGGGACCTAGTAACATTGCCGTAATCAGTCCCGGAACGCGCGCTGTGTGAACAAAAGCCAGGACCAATGCCTTAAAGGGTGTGTCTTTAGTGATGACGCTCGTGCCATCGCGCGACTCTGTTGCTCTTAGAAGAAAGTTTGTGTTTGTCATCAACAAAGAAAGGACGAACAAATACCTACAAACTAGGGCTGCACGTTTTCAAGTTTTTCATTAACCGTTAACCGAGGCCCTTTCGGTTAATAGCCTACTCGGTTAACCTATAGTGTGCGCGCCGCAACCTCGAGATACAGAGTTAATTTTTAACACCTTTAATAACTGGTTGGACCCCATTTGAAACGAAATTAATTTATAGAAATAAAATGCAGGGGTAAGTTCAGAGCAGTTAAAGTAGGCGCGTTTCCATCACCCTTCAAACACCCTTCAAAGTCATAGCGCCACCTAGTGGCAACAGGAAGTGACCTTTAACGAAGCAGCCCCCGCCGCACCTTTGACCGACATGTACGAAATTTCTGTGGTACATCTACCATGACCAGACGCACAAAAAAGCCTCAAGAACCCATACCCTAAACTCGACAGGAAGTCCGTCATTTTGAATTTGGCGACCGATTTGGGACGATTTACACACTCCGTACTTTAACGAACTCCTCCTAGGGATTTAGTCAGATCAACTTCAAATTTCTGCTGTGCCTTCTAAAGGCATTGACGATGTAAAGTTGTGCTATCTGCGCGTTTTCGTCGATGGGCGTGTCCGTGGCGTCGATGATTCGCCATGAAACAGGAAGTTGTAGTAACTTGGCTGTAAATGCCCAGATCTGCACGAAATTTAACACGTTTGACAAGAGTCCCGTCCTGAACAAATCTACATGCCGACATTCACCCACAGTCATAGCGCCACCTAGTGGCAACAGGAAGTGACCTTTAACGAAGCAGCACCCGCCGCATGTTTGACTGACATGTACGAAATTTCTGTGGTACATCTACCATGTCCAGACGCACAGAAAAGTCTCTTGGAGCGATGCCCTAAACTCAACAGGAAGTCGGCCATTTCTAATTTTACTGCCATTTTTGGATGATTTACTCATTACGTACTTTAACTAACTCCTCCTAGGGATTTAGTCGGATCGACTTCAGATTTCTGCTGTGCCTTCTAAAGGCATTGACGATGTAAAGTTGTGCTATCTGCGCGTTTTCGTCGATGGGCATGTCCTTGGCATCGATGATTCGCCATGAAACAGGAAGTTGTAGTAACTTGGCTGTAAATGCCCAGATCCCGCCCTGAACAAATCTACATGCCGATATTCACCCACAGTCATAGTGCCACCTAGTGGAAACAGAAAGTGACCTTTAACGAAGCAGCCCCCGTCGCACGTCTGACCGACATGTATGAAATTTCTGTGGTACATCTACCATGTCCAGTCGCACAGAAAAGTCTCTTGGAGCAATGCCCTAAACTCAACAGGAAGTCAGCCATTTCTATTTTTACCACCATTTTTGGATGATTTACTCATTACGTACTTTAACAAACTCCTCCTAGGGATTTAGTCGGACCAACTTCACATTTCTGCTGTGCCTTCTAAAGGCATTGACGATGTAAAGTTGTGCTATCTGCGCATTTTCGTCGATGGGCGTGTCCGTGGCGTCGATGATTCGCCATGAAACAGGAAGTTGTAGTAACTTGGCTGTAAAAGCCCAGATATGCACGAAATTTTACACCTTTGACAAGAGTCCGGCCCTGAACAAATCTACATGATCGACATTCACCCACAGTCATAGCGCCACCTGCTGGCAACAGGAAGTGACCTTTAACGAAGCAGCGTAGCAAATGCACAGCCGCACCGGCTGAGCTCCAGAATATACAACGCGGCCGCCTCACACCCCGACACGCTACAGGTGCGAGGTATGGGCTGCATCCCGCGGGACCCAACGCAAATCTCGCGGGAGCGGGCGGTTTGAACTTTGATGCGGGCGGGAATGGGCGGCGAAAAAAACGGCTGCGGAATCAGGAGGTAGCCTTCACATGATGGAGAATGAGAAGATGTCAATAAATGAAGTGGAATATAACCTCAAAAGAGGTATTTTCAGCACAAAAACTAAGAAAGGCAAGTCTGACATTTGGAGAAGTTTCTCAATTGTCTGTGACAAAGACGGAAAGGAACTGGACTTTGTTCATTGTGACAAATGTGCAAAAATACTCGTCTACAATGGGCACAAATCCGGCACGTCTGGGTTGAGGCGACACACCTGCACTGTTCTTCCCGGTCAAAGTAAGCTGGTTTTCAAGGATAAACAACATCTCCCTACAGTCATTAAACAAGAAACTACAGAGAAATGTGTGGAAATGTGCTGTCTAGACATAAGGCCATATGACTTTGTCGCCGGGAAAGGCTTTGTTGATATAGCGCAACACTTTGTTGATGTCGCGGCTAAATATGGCAAATTTGATGTTAAAGATGTTTTACCTCATCCAACCACTGTATCCAGACATGTCGAGGGACGAGCCCAAGTACTGCAGGCGTCGGTGGCAGCAGAGATAAAGCCTATCATTGAAACATATGGATGTGCCATCACAACAGATATATGGACGGAGGATTACCATAAAACCTCATTCATATCCGCCACAATCCATTATACAAACAACAACTACGACCTCGTTTCCAGGGTGTTATTCGCGGCTCCCTTTGAGAGTGGTGTATCAAAGACAGGGGAGAATATTAGGAGCCTGCTGTTCCAGAAACTCTGTGAATTTGGAATAGATGCGTCACTTCTATCTGGCCGTGTTGTGTTTGTCACCGACCGTGGAGCCAATATAGTCGCTGCCCTACGTGGATACACCAGGCTCAACTGCAACGCGCACATCTTGAACGTCACCCTATCAAGTGCATTTGCACCAGAAGTGCTGGCTGAAAGTAGTGAGCTGTCTGAATTGTTGACCAGTGCAAAAAAATTGGTGAAATATTTCAAACATTCAGGTCTGCAAAACAGCTTGAAGAAATCCCTCAAGCAATCCATCGAGACAAGATGGAATTCAAATTATGAAATGCTGGATTCCATACTGCAACAACATGAGGAGATCTCCACAATACTGCTTAAAAATAACCAGTATGAAAGAATTGCGCAGATCAATGCAAACACTTTAAAAACGGTAGTTGCGTTCCTTAAGTTATTCAAGGAAGCTACTAATGACTTAGAGTCCGACAACTCCACTCCCAGCGCATCATTTCCACTGCCGTGGTCCGTGAAACTCATTGAACACTGCCAAGCAGCAATGCTCGAGCCCTTGCTCTCTGGAGTCGCCGACGTGTGTGCCTCGCGTCTTGAAGAACTGATGGGCACCAGTGACACATCTCCACAAGATGTACAGGATTGCAACACTCCTGACTCCTAAAATGAGAATGCTACGGATGCTGCCCCCAGATGAAAAAGACGACGTGGTTAAAGGTAGGCTATGTGTAACAGATATAAACACAGAAAACACGCGCAATTACAATCTAAAATTCAGTCAAAAAAAAGAAATGGAGATAAAAGACAATGAATAAATAAAAAATATAAATGCGTAACAGCATGAGCCATTTTAAAAATAAATATTCATTTATATATAAATCAAATCCTATCCAAAGGTGCAAAGGAAATTATTCAGAAGATGCAGTTTCATCTGGGCCCAGCCATAGTAGAGGATGAGCCACCACCAGCCAAAAAGCAAAAAACAGACAGATTTGCAGACTGGGAAGGCGATGCGTCCGTTGCTTCAGTCACAGTGCCAAAGCCGATCGATGATGAGATGGCTGAATATCTCAGCTCCCGTCTCTCTGATAACCCAGACCCAGACAACGTGCTTCAATGGTGGAAGTTCAACAAAGAGCGCTTCCCAGCGCTCTCAAAGCTGGCTCGTTTCATCTTTAGTATCCCTGCATCCAGTGCGCCTTCAGAGCGGGCCTTTAGTGTCTGTGGGCGCATCCTGGAAGAGAGACGCACGCGCTTGGGACCGCAGTCGATAAGCAACATTCTCTTCCTCCACAGCAATATTGCAAAGTGATTCATTTGTTAAATTTATTCATTAACGTTGTTTATTTTAAGTTATTTATTAGTGTTGTTTTTTGAGCACAGCCTCTCGTTGTCATTTGTTAATTAGGTCAAGAGGCGTGATGATGCCAGTGTTATTGAACAGGCAGCCTAAGTTTGAATGTTTTTATTCTTATTTGTATTTTTTCAAAAAGAATACCTGCTGTGACATCTGGCTTTGGCTAATAGGCTAAAACTGCTGTTTTTCATATAGCCTATAGTTTATCATAGCCTATTGTATTTTATATATATATATATATATATATATATATATATATATATATATAATTTTTTTTTTTTTTTTGCAAAGCAGTCTATTTTTATGTGCCCTGTGATGGTACTTGATAAATGTTAAAAAAAGGTTTAAAAGGTTTTGATAAAAATGAAGTTATATTTGAATGTATTGTGTTTTTGTCTTTCTGTGTTCTCATAAGCTAGCTGCTTTCAGACTTGCTTTCTGTTCATTTACAATAATTACATTATTATCAAGCCTGACGAAATACAATAGCCAAAATCAAAGTACTTGAGAAACGCGCGGTAGCCTAAGCATTTTAAATGTCCCCGAACGATATCCAGGCTTCTATTCATCTTCCTGATCAGTGCATTAGAATACATGCGGGCCAGGGAAATGAAACAAACAACCGCATGAATCTCTTTAATAATAGCAATACAAATAAGTAATTTTTTCCTGCGGGACGGGAGAAGACAAAATCAATGCATCTCTGTCACGGTGTGAGGTGGTGGAGTACAGGGGTGCAGGCAGAAGGAATAGGAGGAGTCCGGATTAACATGAAGATACTTATTTTAATCAATAATACAGGTAGGAGGACAGGGAATCTCCGGGTACATACAACATCGACCGACAAGGACTGACTAAAACAGAAGGAACTAAATACACAGAAGAATCAAACATAATGAGGTGAAGACAGGTGAAACAGATGACGATGACGAGGAACAGGTGGCTGATGAGGGAGTGAACACGGGATAGGGTGACGAGAGGATCCTGGGAAGTGTAGTGCTGAAGACAAGACAGACTGGTGCAGACGGAGGACTGTGACAGAACTCCCCCCTCCCGGGAGGCGTGACCTCACGCCGCAGAACAGAGGAAGGAGGGGGGACGAACTGGGGGCTGAGAGGGGTGTGGCCAGGGCGGAGCAGGCTGAGGACGTGGCCAGGGCGGAGCAGGCTGAGGGCGTGGCCAGGGCGGAGCAGGCTGAGGGCGAGACCAAGGCGGAGCAGATGGAGGGTGAGACCAGGGCGGAGCAGATGGAGGGCGAGACCAGGGCGGAGCAGGCTGAGGGCGAGACCAAGGCGGAGCAGATGGAGGGTGAGACCAGGGCGGAGCAGATGGAGGGAGGACCCCTGGTGGAGCCGATGGAAGCGGGGCTGACAACACCAGGGGGCCGACAGACAGGGGCGGAGCAGATGGTAGAGGAGACCAGGGTGAAGCAGAGGGACAGACGACATCGGATGCTGACGAGGGACCGAGGGACCATGGGGACACCGTAGGCTCAGGTGACAGAAGTGACGACAGGGGCACAGAGGGACACGGTGAGGCCAGAGGGAGTGAGGGCTGACGGGTGACTGGAGGGAGTGAGGAGTCCGACAGAACCGGGGGGGTGACCTGACGGTGCGGAGCAAAGGGAAGGAAGTCCAAAGGTGAAGGGAGGATGACGAGGGAACGAAGGGAGTCCGGAGGGTCGAGGGAGCCTGGTCGAGCTGGTGGACTGAGGGGCCATGGAGGAACTGAGGGAGGTAGGAGCCACGGGGGAGCTGATGGGACAGAGGGCCGAGGAAGTGTCTCTGAGGAGGAGGTGTGAGGCGAAGACCGGGGATCCAAGGACCAGGCTGGTTTAGGGGAGCTGAAGGGCAGGAGAGCAGAGGGAGGACAGCTGAGAGGAGGCGGGAGAGGGAGGCTGGGTGGGATCCCGGTCTCTGGCGCTGGCTGGACGGTCCCTGGCGCTGGCTGGACGGTCCCTGGCGCTGGCTTGACGGTCTCTGGCGCTGGCTGGACGGTCTCTGGCGCTGGCTGGACGGTCTCTGGCGCTGGCTGGACGGTCTCTGGCGCTGGCTGGACGGTCTCTGGCGCTGGCTGGACGGTCTCTGGCGCTGGCTGGACGGTCACTGGCGCTGGCTGGACGGTCTCTGGCGCGCTGGACGGAACCAGCAGTGAAGAGCATACAGTCTCTGGAGGGCTGGACGGAACCAGCAGTGAAGAGCATACAGTCTCTGGAGGGCTGGACGGAACCAGCAGTGAAGAGCATACAGTCTCTGGAGGGCTGGACGGAACCAGCTGTGAAGAGCATACAGTCTCTGGAGAACTGGACGGAACCAGCAGTGAAGAGCATACAGTCTCTGGAGGGCTGGACGGAACCAGCAGTGAAGAGCATACAGTCTCTGGAGAGCTGGGCGGAACCAGCGGGGAAGAGCATTCAATCTCTGGAGAACTGGACGGAACCAGCAGTGAAGAGCATACAGTCTCTGGAGGGCTGGACGGAACCAGCAGTGAAGAGCATACAGTCTCTGGAGAGCTGGGCGGAACCAGCGGGGAAGAGCATTCAATCTCTGGAGAGCTGGACGGAACCAGCGGCGAAGAGCATACAGTCTCTGGAGAGCTGGACGGAACCAGCGGTGAAGAGCATTCAATCTCTGGAGAGCTGGACGGAACCAGCGGTGAAGAGCACTGGAGCGATGGAGTGGGGCTGGTGACGTCATACATGGTAAAGGGAGATCCACATGACACCAGCACCCACTCCACATAGGCCACAAAGTGCCCTCGAGGCCCCTCTCCGGGCAGGCGTGCCTGGGTTTCAGCATTTAAGCCTGCCCGGAAGAACACACAGAGGCTGGTATCATCATAGTGAACATGAGGTACCAAATCCAAATACCTCTGTGTGTGGGCCTCGAGGGATTGATCCTCCTGCTTCAGGAGGAGAAGCTGTACAGCTGGTAAATCCATGTTTGGAGGTCGGTCGATCTGTCACGGTGTGAGGTGGTGGAGTACAGGGGTGCAGGCAGAAGGAATAGGAGGAGTCCGGATTAACATGAAGATACTTATTTTAATCAATAATACAGGTAGGAGGACAGGGAATCTCCGGGTACATACAACATCGACCGACAAGGACTGACTAAAACAGAAGGAACTAAATACACAGAAGAATCAAACATAATGAGGTGAAGACAGGTGAAACAGATGACGATGACGAGGAACAGGTGGCTGATGAGGGAGTGAACACGGGATAGGGTGACGAGAGGATCCTGGGAAGTGTAGTGCTGAAGACAAGACAGACTGGTGCAGACGGAGGACTGTGACAATCTCTATTATTGTGCGGGAATAAATTCTCAGAGTTTTGCGGGTGCGGGCGGGAGTGGACATACATTTTGCGGGTACGGGCGGGAGCGGAACACATACGTTGCGGGAGCGGGCGGTAATGGTCAGAAATTCGGCGGGCGCGGGCAGGAGCGGGATGAAGAAAACAGTCCCGCGCAGGACTCTAGTGCGAGGGCCCGCCCATCGCTGCTTGCAGCTTTAATTTTTCATTTGTCATTTTTCAGAATGCAGAAAACGTGCCCAGAAAATATTCCTGTACCAAGGCATCGTGGACAGAAGAGTTAAAAATGTGAGTAATTTTCCCTTTGTTCCTCTTGGTCTTTTGCCTTTGTGCCGACAAAAGCCATGGCAGGAGACACTGGGTCTCATTTATGAAACATGAGCAGAACAAATTTGTGTGTAAATCGTGTGTAAAGTGGTTCTGGCATACATTTTCAGATTTTTCATAAATCGTCTTACAAAAGCTCTAAATGCAACTCTTGCTGCTTTCTGAACTAACTGTAACTTCTCTCTATATGTCTTTGGTTTCAGGGAAAAGAAGAAGTCAAAGTTATGTGGACCCCTTGCTCAATATGGTAGGTCTTAACCCTCCTCCTACTTAACCATCCTAGATGAAATAAAGTGGCGTAATGGGCTGCAACCAGGTTCATACATTGACAATGCTGTCATTTATAAATTGTTTCTTCATCATTTCATTGACGTTCACTTTTGAAATAAAGTTGTTGTTGTTTTTTCATTAGAATGGAAGTGTGCTGTTTAAGAATTATCAGTTTTGATAAGATGATAAAACACTGCCTGTGCTTTTATAAGCAAGATATGTCTTCACTGCCAGTTCGAAAACAGCTCACAAACACCCTGAAATAAGTTTTAGAAAACATGTTACATCTACCGCATTTCAGAGTTTATGTGTTATGTTTTTTTAATTTGATGATTTTCGCCAACTTATCGTTATGCAGATACATGCAAGTAAATTGCTGTTCTTAAATGTATTTGGTAATGATTACACTGCACTGTAAGAAAAAAAACTGACATTACATTTTACCCTATCTGATGGGGTCTTGTTAGGATTGAGTGAGACATTCAATTCAATTTTACTTGAATAGTGTTTAAAAAATTGAAATTTTCCCAACATACTTCACAGAGCCTGAACCTTGTATAACAACTTGGTAGGCAATTGGGCCAGGGAAAAACTCCCTATTTGACATGAAGAAACCTTGAGTAGTTACCAAACTCAAAGGAGTTACCCATCTGCTTGTGACTGGCTGGGTATAATATAACAATTAATATAATAATTAGTCATTTAGCTTATGCTTCTATCCATTGTGCCTTATCCACAAGTTTCCGAGGGGCGCTCCTGTAAAAAATAAAGTGGGTGAAACTTCCGGTGAGGCGGCGGAAGTAGCATTCCAATGGTATTTTGTGTGTTAGTTAGCGAAGAGGCTAGCTGTTTTTCGGAGAATTATTTTACTATTTAAAGACGCCAATCTTTATGAGAGATGTCGTTACGGAGCTCAGGGACAACATGTGCTGTTCGCGGTTGTATGTATAACCGGACTAAACTAATTCAGTGGCTTAAACGTGATTGTTTTGAACATAAGCTGAAAACGAAATCACAGTGATCCTGCCAACGGCTGTAGTTTCCATCACCTCCCAAAAGACGACGAATCTTCCTGTGTACATTAGTTTAAATTCTTAATATTCTATAAACTCTATCAGCATGTGATTGGCTGTTCTCTACTGATGTTACACCTAAACTCACGATCAAAGCCTGTGTTGACAGAATACCAAATGTGCAGTTAATGTATTCAAGCAGCACATTCATTTATAATTTTGAATAAACTCC